TCAATATATACGAATAACGATTACAGACAGTAGATGAAATTAGGAGCTGAGATCCATAACAAACCTGTAGAGATTACTCCGGCGAGCAGCGTTAAGTCTTTGTGTTCTCTCCGAGACTAAAGGGAAGACTTATTGGAACCCTAGGTTTATTTATGCCAAATTGTCAAATGCAAACATTTGGAGTCGAATCAGTGGATGCAATATTGGGCCTAAAAAGTTATTTAAGGCCTACGGATTTGACCCAATTGGTATTCGGTAATGTATAAAGGCGTGTTTGAAATTACTTATTTAAAACAATTTATGTTTTTTTATAAAAACATTTATCAACTTATTATAAGTTAGAAGGGTTAAGGGGTGTTTGGGATTGCTTATAAAAATGACTTATTGACTTATTCCGGTGTGGTACCGGTAATAAACACTTTGAGTGTTTAGATAAACAACTTATATCGGTGCCAAATCGGTAATAAGAAATTTTTGAACAAATTAAACCCTTATGACTTGTAATAAGTTGATAAGTGTTTTTATATAAAAGTATAAGTTGTTTCAAATAAGCAATCCCAAACATCCCCTTAACTTCTTCAAAAATTGCTTATTATCGGTTTGACACCGGTATAAGTTGTTTATTCAAACACTTAAAAGTGCTTCTTATCGGTGTCACATTGTAATAAGTCAATAAGTTGTTTTTATAAGCAATCACAAACACCTCCATAGATATAAACATCGATTATAAAAAAGGCGAAACATCGTGAGAACGGGAGTTAAGATGATAAACGTAAGAAGGAATCTGACCCTTTGATCATTTTTAATCTTAAATCCATTCATGAATCGTGTTTGATACGGAGAGTGACCCGGTGCATCTTGGGGTATCTCATCTCTGTGTATCTAATTTTAATGTATATCCAAAGGTGAGATCTTTTTCTTGCACTCCTCATCTTAACTCTAATTCTCATCGTAACCCAACACTTATTAATAAATAAACTAGAAGAATATTCGTGCAATGCAGCGAGATACATCTTGATTTTAATGTTTCGTTTTATATTTTGAGTCTATCAATGTTATAATGTGTGTGGTTTTGAGAAAAATAAATTATATTTTTATTTTTTAATGAAATATAAATTTGAAGATATCATAAAATTTTGATAAAAATAAGCGATATTGGTATCAAATTAAATATTTATAAGTTTTTTTTGTGTAATTNACAATTGGCAACCCATTTCTAACATAAAAGTATAGCTCAATTTCGTTTAAAAATACAAGTTCTAACTTTGCCCAACAATTGGCAACCCATTTCTGACATAAAATGCATTTATTTTTATCCATCACAAAAACATTACATTAAGCAACTAGAAGCTAAATATTATATATATACACATCTTACATATACCATTCCATAAATATACATACAAAATTATAAATTCCATAAATATATATATATATATATATATACACACATGATACATATACTATTTCATATATATGTATATAGAAATACATATATATATATATATATAGTGAAACACAAATATATATATATATATATATATATATATATAGGGTTGGGTTCACGTGAGACCAGCCTGTTTTCGTGAGACCTGTGAGACCACATTTTTACACGTAACCTTCACAGCAAAAACATTGTGAAGGTTTAAAAAAAATCGAACCTTCACAGCAAAAACACTGTGAAGGTTTTAAAAAGTCACATTCACAACATTTTGCTGTGAAATTTCAAGTGTAAAATGTTGGTCTCACGGGTCTCACGAAAACAGACTGGTCTCACATGATCCTAAGTCTATATATATACATATATATATATATATATAGATACATACATACACATAGAAAGACAAATATATATATATATATATATATATATACATACATCATACATATACACATTCAAGATCTAGCTAGATACGGATATATATATATATATATAGAGAGAGAGAGAGAGAGAGAGATACTTACCGGAATGGTCGGGGGGAAGGAGGCAGCGGCGGGACGGAATGGTCGGCGGGAAGGAGGCGGCGTCAAGACGGAATGGTCGGCGGGAAGGAAGCACATGGCCGGAGTGAGGTAAAATTGGGGAGGGGGGTTTTAATTAGGGCTTTTACGCATGGTGGAGGCTGTGAAAAGAGGAATGAGAGGTTTTATATTGAGTGGTTTCCGGCGGATTACCGGCGAAAATTTCCGCCGGAAATAATATTTTCATATTTTTTAAAATATCATATTTTCTAGAAAAACTAAAAAAAATAAAAATTCAAAATACCGGCGGATTTGCCGCCGGAAAATTTTCAAAATATTTTAAAATTTTTAAAAATCAACAGGCTGCGCCCTTTGTTTTGAAATTTTCGTTTTCCGGCGGGAAATCCGCCGGTATTTTGAATTATTTTATTTAATTTTTAATTTATTATTATTATTATTATGAAATTTAAAATCTGATTGTTATTACCACTAAAATTATTATTATTATTATGAAATTTAAAATATGATTGTTATTACCACTAAAATTATTATTATTATTATTATATATACGATCCATTAAAGCCCAATACGATCCGCCAACGTGCAATACGATCCATTAAGGCCCAATACGGAATACGATCCGTTAAAGCTTAATACGGTCCATTAAAGCAAATACGGTTCGTTAAAGCCCAATACGATCCATTAAGGCCCAATACGGTCCGTTAAAGCAAATACGATCCATTATTGTCCAATACGGTCCATTAAAGCCCAATACAGTCCGTTAAAGCCCAATATGATCCGTTATTGGCCAATACAATTCATTAAATCCCAATACGATTCATTAATGAACAATACGATCCATTAAGGACCAATACGGTACGTTAAAGCAAATACGATCCATTAATGTCCAATACGGTCCATTAAAGCCTAATACGGGGCCTAATCAAATGAGAACTAATTAGTTTGTTGTAACCGTGAGATCCAATCTCAAACACAAATCAATAGATAAATTATGAAATTTATAATTTTGATAATTTTGATTAAAAATTTTAATGCAAGGATATATTTTTGGTATTTTAAGTCTT